CATTTATCATGACAATTCCCATTCCTCGTATCTTAACAAATTTATTTTAAAAAATCTCAGCATCAGTCAAGTATCTCATTCACTGACTTTCAAGAACTTGGCACCCAGCAACTTCTGAGTTTTTTTCCAAGTTAAAAATAAACAAAAAACACATTTTAAATAGGCAACAGGATTTGTACTTTCATGACTGAATAGGTATAGCATTGTTGCCTGACTGTGCTGGCCTATTTTGGAAAAAACAGATGATTGCCACTTACTATAAATAAATGACTATAAAGACAGTGACAGCAATTTCTTATAGGTGCCACCATTTTGGTTTCAATAGGATATTCTGCAATGCTGACTAAGCTGAACGACACCCCTATTAGCTAATATAATAAAAATACAGGGAGTGATGAGTAAATTGTTGCCAATTTTTGTTTTTGTCAACTGCACAGTATAGTAAAGTCAGTTGGGCACCATCTGTAAGAAAAAGAGCACCCTGACACAATTCACTCAGCCAGAAATTTGGAAACAGTATGTTGCACAACTTGGCATTCATAACAGAAGCTCCAATATGAACATTTCAGAATGTTTGGGTGTCAGTCAGAGGATTCCAAAAGAGTTGGATGAGTCTAATGGTGATTATGAATGTATGGCAGCTCAGAAAAATCAATCTAAGAAAAGTAATCCCAAATTTCTTAATGAGATCCAGGCTATGATTGACAATGGTCCCTTCAAATCAATTAGGTCCTTAGCCAGGGACACAGGAGTGTCCGAGTTTCTTATCAGGCAGTTAGTGCATGAAGACATTCAATATTTCTCATACAAGATGAGAAAGGGATAATTTTTCTCTCAAGCCATGAATGACAGGAGGAAAGACCATGCTACAAAGCTACAAACTCAAGCATCCCCTCCAAATGAATATGATTTGGTTTTTCTCAGATGAGAAAAATTTCTGCCAGGATAAGATAGCAAACACACAGAATAACTGTTGGCTTGCTGTGTCCCCCCTCCCCCCCAAAAAATGTATCAAGAGTGATAAAAACCTAATATCCAGTCAATATCATGGTGTTTGAAGTGCTCACTAGTGATGGCGATGTTGTGTCTCTGTTCATCTTCCCACAGGGCCTCAAACTCAATATAGAAGCCTACAACAAGTGCCTCGTGGAGGTAGTGCTGCCCTAGGTCAAGAGGGTGGCTGCTGGAAGACCCTATGTCTGGCAAAAGGACTCTGCATTATACCACACAACAGTCATAGCTGTCAGACACATTTATGCGACCACATCATCCCTTACATCTGGCCACCTAACTCCCCAGACTGCAACTGCCTTGATTATTATATGTAGAGGACAGTTGAGCAAGAGACCCCTTGTAGCATCAAAAATGAAATGAAGGCAAGGATTATGGCAGAATTCAACAACTTAAACAAGGAGACTGTCCAGAAGAGTTGCAGGAGATTCAGAAGTCGTCTGGAGGCTGTGGTTGAAGCCAATTGCGATTTTATTGAATAAATTTACTCTGTAGTATTTCAAAACATTTTTGTGTAATTTTTGGAAAATATATCTGTTCAAATGAGATGTCAGTGTTATTTTCATTTTTGTGTAATTTAGATGACAATTTATCCATCACACCTTGTATAAAAATAGGTTCTAATGTATGCTACCCTATTTGTATACTGTTTGAAAATAACATTAAGAGCTACTTTGTTTATAGCACAAATACTAGAGACCAACATTTCATGGTGTCTTGAATATAAAGAAATCCGTCCAGAACAGTGGAAGTGTTAGAGAACACAATGATCAGGCAATAACAATCCTGAGAAAGACTTTATATTCAAAGTGAGTATTTTTTGAAGGGACTAAGGACCACTTCCCAAAGTAAACTACTTTTTTTCATTAATGTTAACAGAATGCTTACCAGACAGATATTATACAAATATTTATTCATATATTTATATATTAAATGAAATATTCATCGATTATAAATAATTTATTTTATAGGCAATAAATACTAATAAATAGTACTGTAGTAGTGGGAAAAATTACTCTGAATAATAATTCTAAATGTCATAAAATGAAATTTAGAGGCCACACTAACTCAACTTTCTATCAAGATTTTCTTTCCCTTGACAAAATTCAACTAAATTTGGGTTGATATAGGGGGTATCAACATTTCCCAGGTTAATAAATGTCAGATTCTGTCATTTTGCTATACAATAAATAGGTAGACACAGGTTCAGTTTTTATGAGAGTCAAAAAAAAAGGTAAAAAGGGTCCAATTTGTATGAGAGTCAAAAAAAAAAGGTAAAAAGGGGTCCAATTTGCATGAGAGTCAAAAAAAAAAAAAAAAGGTAAAAAGGGGTCCAATTTGTATGAGAGTCAAAAAAAAGGTAAAAAGGGGTCCAATTTTTGAGAGTCAAAAAAAAAAAAGGTAAAAAGGGGTCCAAGAGAGAGTCAAAAAAAAAAAGGTAAAAAGGGGTCCAATTTGTATGAGAGTCAAAAAAAACAGTAAAAAGGGGTCCAATTTGTATGAGAGTCAAAAAAGGTAGACATGAGCCTGGTTTTCATGGGAGTCAGAAATGGTGAATAGATGTCTGGTGAATAGATGTCTGGTAAATAGATGGCCCCTTTTTTTTTTTAGTTGTGGATGCATTTGGCATATTTTTTGACTCCAACTGATAGGGTGTCAAAATCAAGTTTTAAATGAGTCAAAATATATTTCTGAGCACTGGCCATTCACTTTTTAATTCTTCACAAAACCTTTCCAATGATCTGCATAATATGTTTTCAAGAAGGCTGGGTTTTTTTTTTTGCACATATTTGAGAAAACTTATAACATATTCCTTTAGCATGGTTTTTAGATTCTTGATAGGGTTAAAAGCAGGTAAATTTCCTGGCCATTTATCAAAATTTATTTGAAAATACTAATAATAAATAAACCAAGTCGACTTCCTTTTTTTCAACATTTTCAATTCGTTCACGACTCCAATTAAAGCACATACACTTTGATTCCTTATTAATGTCAACAAAGTGGGAACATGACCAAGTAGTTCGGACATTAGCATTCTGACCATAAAGTCCAGGTTCGAATTTCACCATGGTCAATTTGTCAAGTTGACTTCTTGATAATACTAGGAAGCTAATCTCAGTATACAGCACAGTTGGGAATGGTTTGAAAAAAAATACAAACTAACCCAAGCCTTGTGAGTGAGAGTGGATAGACATAACTGCTTGGTAATCATTGATGTTTGTACTAACAAGATGACAAGTCATCATGACTAAAGTTTAGAGCATAGTGGTCATGTTCAAATCAGTGATAATGCTAGATAATGTGCTCTCACTCACAGAAAGTGTGATCTGCTCAGCAAAGCAGGTGTAAAAACCACAGATCGGATCTGAGGGTGTTGAAGAGAGACAAATGTGTCTGAGCAAACATCTGCAACAGGGATTAGCTAGCCATTATAGCAGATGCAAACTTGGATATGAGCTGCTAGCCATACAACGAGCCAACCATTGGCCACCCTCACAATGCAGAAAAAGTCAAATCTGTATATACAGTTTGCATCAAAGCTATCAGACAAATCAAAGAAATCCAAATGTACAATTGTCAACATTTGTCTCTTCCTGGAAATAAACAATGTAAACTTCTTCCAAAGTAAAAAAAAAATGAAAATACAACAAAAAATGTTTTATTAGGAGAATCCATCTAATCACTAATGAAATTAAGTAATTGAGACAAGTTTTAATCACTCATGAGACAATATGGATTATTTATTAATGAGACAGCATTTAATCATGATCTAGATTAACTGATGCTTAAAATAGCACACTATCGAGTTTGATAAAGAAAGTTATTTTGCTGTTATTGTCTTGTTTGGGTTGGTAGTCAAGGGAGATTGGCATCAGCCATTGTTGTATGCTAGTAATGAAATAGTACAGAAAAGAGTCATGCTTTATCCAAGGTCATTAGTGCAAAGAGATAATGAAATGAATTAGTGTTACATCAAACTGTTAACAGAGAAAGAGAGAGACAGAAAAGTAGAGAGAAAAGAGAGAGAAAGTCAAATATATATATATATATATATATATATGTATATAGAGAAAACAAAATATATATATATATATATATATATATATATATATATATAGAGAGAGAGAGAGAGAGAGAGATATATATATATATATATATATATATATATAGAGAGAGAGAGAGAGAGTGCTATATATATATATATATACATATATATAGAGAGAGAGCATATATATATATATATATATATATATATATATATATAGAGAGAGAGAGAGAGCAAAATAGAGAGAGAGGGGAGAGAATAGTAGAGCGAGAGAGAAAAGTAGAAAGTGAGAGAGAGAGAGAGAGAGTGGAATATATCCATATATAGAGAGCAATATATATATATATATATATATATATATATATATATATATATATATATAGAGAGAGAGAGAGAGCAATATATATATATATAGAAAGAGGGTAAAATAGAGAAAGCAAAATAGAAAGAGAGAGGGAGCAAAACAGAAAGAGAGAGAAAGAGAGCAAAATAGTGGCAAAATTTTTGGCAAAACCTAAAGAACCGCACTCTATTCTAAAATGCTAATAGAGCATTGTACTGAACTCCAGAAGACCTCTTTTATTTGGTTTCTTTCATTTTTTTTTCTCCCAGTATCTGATGGAAATATTTAGTAGTTCTTGCCGTCTAGTATCAAATAGAAACCATTACAGTAGTTCATTGCACATGTGTTTCAAGACTCTACAGTTAAAATATAAGAAAAGAAATAAACTAGTGTGTTGAGTAATCACAAAAAAATAAATAAATAAAAAGCAAATCAATTCGGTTATCTGAATTACAGGTCACCCTTTCCACCCACCTTAAATAGATTGGTAGTCTGCATCCAAATAGGCAGCATTTGACTGTCTATAGTTTTGTGGATGCATCAACATCAGGGTAAAAGGCTTGTTAACACAGAAATCATTCCCATCCCCTTCTCAAGACCTTATTTTGGCACCCAGCAGTGAAGAACTGCACACCAGGTGCACAGGTGTTGAGTAATGAATGGTGTATTGCCACAATCTGACATTAAAGAAGAAAAAAAACTGACAGAAAGGATTAGATGGAAATAAAACAATGTGTGATGATGTAAAGCATATATAAATTTAAGAGGAGGGGGGAGAGAGAATGGAATGAAAAATAGCAATAAGAGAAAGAAAGACGAGGCCATGGCAAAAGATAGACAAGGTGACAAGCAAAAGAAGTGACACGTGGGAAGGTGACAGACGTCACACGGGGGGGGGGCGACAGACGTCACACGGGGAGGGAAGGCGACAGACGTCACACGGGAGGGAAGGGGCGACGTCACACGGGGAGGGGTGACCGACGTCACACGGGGAGCGACAGACGTCACATGGGGGGAGGCGACAGACGTCACTTGGGGGGGAGGCGACAGACGTCACACAGGGGGGCAGGCGACAGAAGTCACACCAGGGAAGGCGAAAGAAGTCACACCAGAGAAGGCGAAAGAAGTCACACCAGAGAAGGTGTCAAGCAAAAGAAATCACATGAGAGAAATAGAGAAATAAACAGAAAAAACTATGGCTTTAAAAAAAACAAACAAAAAAAACTTCTCTAATATTTAATGGCTTAATTTTTTTGTATATCAACATTTATATTTTTGGTCATTCAACAAAAATAAATAAGATGCAGCAAAAATCTAAACTCAATTCTTGTCTTTCATATCATGCTAGACAGTCAATGCCAGCAGTTCTCTCATATTCTTGAAAATTCTGCAATCACCAAGTGATTACAGTTTTCTTATTTAAATACATAAATCAGACAGACATTTTTTTTACACCTTTAACTTACCCAAGTATTGTAGGATAATGAAACTTTAAATAAATGTTATGTAACACAAGAGACATTCAATGTAGAGAGTGTTGAAATGGTAATGATGAATGAGGTGTGTGATATGAACAAAAAAAAAGTGGTGGAAAATGAAGTTTCTGAGAATAATGTGCAAAGATGTCAATTGACTCTTGACTTAAAGATCAAGACTGAAGTCTTCAGGGAAACATCCATGCAAGAGTCTGTTTCCTGAAGTGACTGTTCAGAAATAAGCCAAAAGAACTTTCTTCTTATATTTGGTACCTGGCAGAAAAGAGGGTGAACAAACTCCTTGGAAATGGCATGGTATGTCTGAGCTGCAAAGGGCTAAACTGACTAAAAATTAAAGTTTGTCTGAACATTTGCCATGGGAATAACAATAGAATATGCAGACTAATAACAGTTTAGATTCTTGCAGAATTTTCACCATGTTTAATCTGTATATTCTTTAACTATACAAATATAGGATTTGAAAATGCCCAGATGCCAACTCATGGGCTTTGGTTTCATGATGCTTCTCGAATTGATGAATTGGAGAGCCGAGTTCAAATTCCAGTCGGATCCATTACATTCACTTATGTGCTAATAGCCTTGGGAAAAGTATGAATCCTCTTCTCCCCCCAGCTATGGGCAAATAGCAGGACAGACTGGGTTCTATATCCTTGGATGTCAACTGGTCTACTGCTGAAAGAAATGGCAACCTAATGCAGGAAAAAAATCTGCCTCATCAGTGGAAAGATACATGATTGCCTAAGCATTTATCATGCATGGCACATAACTGATACCAACAATAGAAAATTCATAATCAGTTTCATCAAAAAGTGATGTAAGTATTGAATATTAAAAGTAAAATCCATATAATAAAGTTGCTGCTTTTTTTTTCTAACTTTTGTTGCAATGAAGCCAATGAATACCACATTGATTCAAGCATCTCACTGAAGGTAACCAGACAAGTAACACATCAACTAGACCACTGTTCTAATGTTTGAGCAGCACAGTAAAATTAACTTGCAAATGTTGATTGGAGGCAGAGGAGCCTGCAGATGCTAGGCTGATTATGTGGCAGAAGTGATAATCTATATATAATGCCATTATTTTTATGATATTATATATATATATATATATATATAAATAAAAACCTCCAAATATTTTCTAAAAAAGAGCCTACCATCACAAAAAAAAGGTCCCAAACTTGATAAAAAAAAGTTTTATCATAAAAATGCTTATACTAAGAGGAAAGATCAAAGTATTTTTTGATTATTTTATTAAATTTTTTTAATCATTTCTCGCGAGTTGAAAATTTTGGTTAAAAATCTTATTTTTCTTACATCAGCAGGTGGGTCAAAGATTATTATGGGTAATGTTTTAGCGTTGTATTAGTGTTTTTTGGGGAGTTAAAAAACAGATTATTTGGGAAATTCTTGCAAAAAAATCAAATAATTCAAATCAAATCAGGGTTTAATTAAATCTTCAGGACTTATTCATAAATGAAATCATTTTGAATTTTTTTTTTTTTTTTTTTTTAGAAAATCTTGGTTAAAATACCTTCCCCAATTTTATGAAATTTTGAGAAATAAAAATTCCAATATAATTCTTCTTGTGATGTAATTTCTCCACAGTTTCTATCCTTTTAACAGCTTACTAGGGTTTGTCTCTTCACTATCTCTCCCATTCTCTGTTCTGTTTCCCTCTGGCCTTTATTATATCCTGTGAGTGTCAAATTCTCCAATCCCTCTTTTCTCATTATGTTTCCTAGTATTTTCAACAATCTCTTTCTGATGCTAAATAAGGGAGTGTCTTTTTCTTTCCATTTTCTTTAAAGATACAGAAAACAAAAAGAATAAAGCAGGAAAAGAAAACTAACATAATAGGAGAATTATTAACAGATGATGTAGAATTATTTGTCCTTAATTTCTGTTCTCCCTGCTCCCATATTTTGGTCAGGGGTTATTTTCAGGTTGGAAAGGAGAACATGAGAAATGAAGGCATATGAACGCTTGGCTCATCTTGCTTGACGAGTCCTCTTCCCTAATTTTCTTTTACCCAAATGAAGATACACTGATAGCTGCATTAACAAAAAATGGTGTACGACATGAATAGCTCCAGAGGTTATCAAAGTAAAGGAAAGAATGTCTGACAGAAACCCGTTTGAGAGAGCTTTCAAAATAAACGCTTCTTTGATATGTTACAAAGACAAAAATGCCAACAGTGCCTACACAATAGTCAAGATGTTAACATCACAGAGCATTTGCTCGTTTAATCTCTACTATATATGCAACTAATTTGACCTTGTGTCAAACAAAGAAAAAAGTATAGTTAAAAATAATAATCATGCTGTTTGTGTTTTGAAAAGCTTCCAAGGTATAAAATATATTTCAAAACAGCAAATACAGACTTATGACCATATCATGTTTCCTATATAAACATCAACGTTAAGAAACATCAAGCCTGGTCAGTACCTAGAAGGGTAAACACTTGTGAATACCAGGTGCTGTAAGTTTGGATGTGCAGGTGGTGTAGTGGATAAGGGGCTCAGATTTGTTATTTAGAGAGTCATTCAAATTTCAGTTGGGTTGGTTATATTTATTTATGTGCAAATACGCTTGGGAAAAATATGAATTTACCTATTCCCCCTCCAGCTATGGGTTAATTAGTAAAACTTGTATCACTAAATCATTATTTTCTCAAAAAAAATAAATAAATAAATAAAATAAAATACAAAAAAATTCTTACAATCTAAAAAAGGTATTTTCTGGATTTAAATAACCTACAAAGGGTTGAGAAGCCATAAAAAAAAATAAATCAACAACAGCAAATATGCTTTATTTAAAAGATTTTCCTCTTATACTAAATTTTCATAACAGCAGAATCAGGTTGAGATTTCAATGCAGATCAAGTGAGATCAAGACTCACTAACACTACCACACACGTCACAGTATTTGAGCTGATTTTAGTAATATTTTCATCTGAATAGTTTTAATTCTTCCTCAGATTTCTAACTCTTCCAGCCTTAAAGAATGTTCCAGGTGTTCCTATCATGAAGAGTACAACCATCACCTTCATATTTTTCAGTTTATTAGCAAAATCTTGTATTTTTTACTCTGCATTTTGGGTATGTCCTATTTAAACTTTTCTGTATTTAAAACAGCAGAGGACACAATATTGGGGATTATATAAGGCAAATATTATTAAAAACAAACATTTTGTGTCAATTTTATTGCTCAACTTTTCAAAATTAAAATAATCTTTCTCAAACAAGGAGGAAATTTTGTTAGAAATTTTTCAAAGTTCATTTTTGAAGAAAAGTACAAGAAATATGGCCCAAGCTTTCATCAGGATAGGTAGAGAAAATGGGGAGTTTCATAGAACGAGGGAGTGTTATGATGTAATATATGTTGACAGTGTTTGTAACGAAAGGCAGGACTTACCTCGGAATTTGAAACGAGTGCAAATGTGTCTTGCCTGCAAAGTGATGACAAAAAAGAAATATGGCCGCTATTGAAGACAGTTTATGCGCACATATCTTGTCCAAGACGAGACAATATTTGCACACATGCAAATTTTGGCCATCTTGGAATAGCATAAAAAGCAGGGTGCTAGCAGCACGAAAGAACTGAAGTCATTCGGCAGGGAGATTCGATTATGGCAGGGATTGTTAGGGACATGTTCCCTTTCCTTTCCTTTTAACAACTCGCGGGTTGAGCACCGTCATAAACCTCAGAATCAATTGGATTTCTTCGTGAGTGTCAGTCGACCTCGTTGGCTATTCCTCAGTCAAGTGACCTTTCTCAGCCTAGGAAGGTCTATCGTTATCTAGTGGAGGGGGGGGGTCGCAAGGAATCCTCTACGTGAGCAGCTCAACTTGTCAGAGAAGGAGCTTTGCTCTTTCTGGTCAGCAGAGGATTATCTCAGTTACCCTGAGTTTTCGCTTACCTGGCAATTGGCTCGAAATTGGCTGCCTCTCAATGACAAGGCCTTCATATGGGGCATGGCGGATTTGCCAGACTGTGAACGGTGCGTCCTTGGTTTAGAGGAAATGGCTTTGCACGCCTTCTACCATTGCCCCCGGGTTCGCCCCTTATGGGGCGATGTCAGTAAGTTGATGGCTCATCTTGCTCCTGAAAGGCTTGTGCTCATGGATCGCGCATACACGTGTGACAATGCGTCACCCACGTATTCTGGGGTGAAACGAATGGTGTTTCTGACACTGCTGGCCACATCCTGAATAGTGATTTGAACAATGCGACAGGAGGAAGTCTTATAATGCAACCATCTTTCTCATAAGGATCTGATCCCATTCTTTGAGCATCAGCTCAAGAAGATTAGCACTGATAGAAAACACTTGCATTCGACAGTCTTCAGCGAAAGGTGGGTGACTGAGGTGAGCTTGGTTCGTTTGAGTGGGGCTAGCCTTGATTTTCTATTTTAGGTCAACCTACGTTGCATCGGGGTGGTTTCCTGCAGAGCCCTCCCCTTGGTTAGGTTAGACAAGCCTTGTGTACCTAGTTAATGTGAGTAAGTGTTGTTCCTGGCCTGTTCCCGGCTGCCTCTGGTCATGATCCAGGTTGAGATTCCCAACCTCCCCAGTTTGTTTTGGCCCCCTTTTTATCTTGACTGGGTCAGCTTTATATTTTCCCATCCCTGTAAAATATTTTATTTTACTTTTTTTTATCCTTTTCCCACTGCCTTAGCAAGAGAGCTTCTTGATTTTGTCCAATGGGCAGAATACAGCGGCCTCTCCTTTTTGAGGGTTGGACAGGCCCTACTAACATCAGTTATGTTTAGTTTACTTTGTGTTGATTTTTAGTTTATTATTGGGTTCATCACCCTCCCCTCTCATTCTTCATTATTAGATTTTTATATATAATTTATTATCATTAAATTTTTAAGGCATGGGGCACATTTTTGTAGGTTCCCCTTGAAAGGATGCGGTATTATGGTGGATGGAGGATTGATTGGTGACGGACGAGTTCTTATAATGAATGTGGAAATTGTAATGAGTGAATGGGTTGTGAATCAGATTAGCTAGGTATAAGTTAATGGCAACCAGCCTCAACCCCTCCCCATTTTGGCCTTGTGCCGTAATTGTATTTTAAATACAAAGAATAAACTGAAGTCATTCGGCAGACTATGTGTGATAGAGTTGGATGTACGGATTGACAGACAGACAATAAGAAAGTTGAAGTAGGCACGGCTGAATTGGTGTCTGTTTTACAAGTCTCCAGTGTAACGGCTGAGAAAGGGAGTCACGCAATCCATTTCCTTGAGGCGACCAAAGAAGAAGAAAAATAGCTGGCCTGTCAGCAAGTGTCGCACTGCACTTTTTGACCCCCCTCATCATCATTTATTTTTCTCTACAGTGTTATTGCTAATATTATGTTTATGACTGTAGTTTTATTATTAAAATTATTATGACTGTAGTTTTATTATTAAAATTATTATGACTGTAGTTTTATTATTAAAATTATTATGACTGTAGTTTTATTATTAAAATTATTATGACTGTAGTTTTATTATTAAAATTATTATGACTGTAGTTTTATTATTAAAATTATTATGACTGTAGTTTTATTATTAAAATTATTATGACTGTAGTTTTATTATTAAAATTATTATGACTGTAGTTTTATTATTAAAATTATTATGACTGTAGTTTTATTATTAAAATTATTATGACTGTAGTTTTATTATTAAAATTATTATGACTGTAGTTTTATTATTAAAATTATTATGACTGTAGTTTTATTATTAAAATTATTATGACTGTAGTTTTATTATTAAAATTATTATGACTGTAGTTTTATTATTAAAATTATTATGACTGTAGTTTTATTATTAAAATTATTATGACTGTAGTTTTATTATTAAAATTATTATGACTGTAGTTTTATTATTAAAATTATTATGACTGTAGTTTTATTATTAAAATTATTATGACTGTGGTTTCATTATTAAAATTATTATGACTGTGGTTTTATTATTAAAATTATTATGACTGTGGTTTCATTATTAAAATTATTATGACTGTGGTTTTATTATTAAAATTATTATGACTGTGGTCTTATTATTAAAATTATTATGACAGTGGTCTTATTATTAAAATTATTATGACTGTGGTTTTATTAAAATTTTTATGATTGTGGTTTTATTATTAAAATTGTTGCTATTTAAATGAAATTTGATTTGTTTGTCTATATAATTAGGGTATCCATTGTTGATAAGTGCTTGTTTTATATTATTTAATTATTTGAGGGAAATTATTTTGAATGAGGAAATAAATATAATTCAAAGGGATAAACTTATGTACACAACATAAATAAAAGCATCACACAACCAATTAATACACTTTAATGGATTAAAAATAAAGAATTAAAAACTCTCAACATATAAAAATGCAATGAAAATATAATTTTATTGTATGCTATATTTATGAGTACACATGCTCAATATCGTGGACAAGTTGAAAAACACTAAACTACCTACAAATAACTGCATCTGGATCTACAATTATTTCTACTCAAAAATTGAAAGATAACTGTTACTGCCTACCCAATAAACATTAGGATAATACAATAGAAACTGCTATCCATAATGCACCATTGACAAGCATATATAAATAGTTGAGCAAACACACATGGCATGAAAGAGACTTTTGTTGACCTCAGTGTTTAATTTTAATCGTTTAATTTGTTTAAATGTTATTTTTAAATAGATACTCATATCTGAGTAGATGTGCATTATTTATTAAACAGTATATTTATTTACATCTACCAGCCTGAATATTTGAGAAATCTTGATAGAAAAATATGCATCCTCTGGCAAGATTAGAACCTGCATCCCATGGGAGAAAATGTCATTAGATCTGACAGGCCTAAGACCAATAGAGCAGTTGCTCCTAATGCATTTCCCAGGTAGCAATTCTTGTGTTTTTTTTATTTATATATATATATACACACACACATACACACACCTACATGTGAAAGAGAAAGAAAAGCAAAAAGTCGGT